AACAGCTAACAAACAAATCTTTGTTAGAAACCATTAATAATTTTTAAATGAAACTTGTTAATGACATCTGTTCCGACATTTCCAACGTCTTTTGGCATCGAAAACAACATATTGTTAAACTTCCTTAAATCAAGGAGTTTAATGAATAAAAAATCCCAACCAGAACCAAACCAATTCAAATGAGTTAAGAAGTTTTGGAATTTTGCAAATTAGAAATACAAGACCTTCTTAACAAAGGAATCATTAGGAAAAGTAAGTCTCCATGGTCATGCCCTGCATTTTATGTTCAGAAGAACACAGAATTAGAAAGAGGAACTCCTAGATTAGTTATTAACTATAAACCTTTGAATGAAGTTTTGAAATGGATTCGGTATCCAATCTCCAACAAAAAAGATTTGATAAAGAGACTTTCTCAAGCAGTTATTTTTTCAAAATTCGATATGAAGTCAGGATTTTGGCAAATCCAAATTCATGAATCTGATAAATACAAAACAGCTTTTGTAACTCCTTTATGATATTATAAATGGAATGTAATGCCTTTCAGTCTTAAGAATACTCTAAGTGAATTTCAAAACATTATGAATGAGAGTTTTAATCAATATAGCCATTTTTCGATTGTTTATATTAATGATGTATTTATTTATTCAAAGTTTATAGATGAACATTGGAAGCATTTGCATTTGTTTGCTAGAATCATTAAGTCCAATGGATTAGTTGTTTCTGCATCTAAGATCAAATTGTTTCAGGCAAACATCGGATTTCTAGGATACAATATCCACAAGTCTACCATTCAACCTATTGATCGAGTCATTCAATTTGCTGATAAATTTCCAGATCAGATTACTGATAAAGCTCAACTTCAAAGATTTCTTGGATCATTAAATTATGTCTCAGAATTTTATCCACATCTTCGTCAGCAATGTAAGCTATATTTTGATCGCCTAAAAGATAATCATCTAGCATGGCCTACCATTCATACTTTCATTGTCAAACAGATTAAAACACATGTTAAGACTTTGCCTTATCTTGGCATTCCAACTCCCAACTCTTTCAAAATTATTGAAACCGATGCTTCTGATATCGGTTATAGAGGTATCCTCAAGCAGTCTACTTCTTCCGGATCTCTTGAACAAATTGTTCGTTTCCATTCAGGAGTATAAAATTTTGCACAAAGTAATTATAGTACTATTAAGAAAGATATATTATCTATTATATTATGCATTAGCAAGTTTCAAGATGATTTATTAAATCAAAAATTTTTAGCTCGTGTTGATTGCAAATCTGCAAAACATGTTTTACAAAAATATGTTCAAAATATTTCATTCAAATAGATTTTTGTACGATGACAAGCCATATTAAGCATTTTTTTATTTTGATATTGAATATATTAAAGGCAACCACAATTGCATCCCTAATTTTTTAACAAGAGAATTTCTGCAAGGGAAAAATGTCAGGAAACAGTAGTAGCCAAAGAAGGCTTCCAGCCACCCTTCCACCTTCACCACCAATAAAACAAGAATCTATTCCTGATTCCTCATCGGCCTTAGCCATTACCCAACGTTTCACCCCTTTAGGTTCCACTTTAGGAAATATCCAACCAAATTACCAAAAGGCATTAGTCAGCCACTATGATTCTTATTCTTCAATGCCATCCCCTTCAATACCCAAAACACCTAGCTTTGTTAAAACATAACTTGATGTGAAGAAAAACCCAATGGAATACCTTCTCAGCATTCCTCACCATATCAACAAAAAACAACCCCCATAAAAAATAGCCAAAACAATTCTTCCACCAAATTTTCATCTACTAACTGAATCTTTCAAAACCCTTAAATATTACCAAGCCATTCTTTTTGAGATAGAAAGCATTGACATCAAACCTATTTTTAGCACCACCCACAAAAACAAGATACTTTATCATTCCTTCCATATTGGAAGATTTCTTTTTGAACAAGAATGGGGAATACCCCTCTATCAAACCAAACTCCTTCATTCCCAACATGTGTTTATTCCCAACAACCATTATAATTATTTTGATTGCATTAAAGCATGGACCAACATATTTTTACACCAAACATATGACAGTCGCTATTGGTTCATCATATTTGACAAAAATTTCAGGTTAAATTTCCTAGCATGGTTTCCTAATTGGTGGTTAAGTCACGGCCCAAAAGCCAGTTTACTACCTGAAGATCTCATGCAAGTTTTATCATCTGGTTTACTGAAAAGATTTAATCGAAGCCGGTTCGATGACAGAATCTCCCTTCTATCGTTGTTCATGGCAAAATACAAGGTCCCCTGGATCATGAAATGGAATTACGAAGTTGAAACAGGTCAAGTCTACCGATCCCTGTGGATCAAGTGGTGGGACAAATTTGACTACCAAAAAATTATCAACTTGGTTTCCTCTGAATTTCCCATTGTCCCTGTTTCGATGGTATCTCCACCAGCACCAAAGGCATTGCCAGAAATTCCAGAACACACATAATCCTTATCAGACATTAGTCTTTCAGTCTCCCTCAAGGGAAAGTCTAAATCATCCAAAACAACAAGTTCGAAGAAAAAAGAGAAATCCTCACATCTCAAAGAGTTAGCAGATAAGCCCATGGCAGAAGTAGCTTTGCTGCACAATGAAGAAGAAGAAACAAGTTCCGGTTCATCAGACGCTTCGTCTCAACCCGTCAAGTGGGCCGACTATCAAGACTCCCAAGACCCATTTGAAATTTGAAAATGTAATAATTCATAATCATTTTGGATTTTTACTCATGTATCGCACAGTAGAAAACATGTGATTTTATCATAGAAAGCAGATCCAGCAGTAGCAGTAATCATTCTAACAAAGCACTATTCACCAGCAGTAGCAGTAGACAAGTCACTGTTTATGAATAGTAAAATCACTTTTACTATTCATCCATCATTTCAGCAGCGGCAATGTAAATCCACAGTGAAAAGCATCATCATTCGCCAGCTTTTACAACCTTTGGAACATGGAGTGCAGTGGGATTCCCGGCCTCAATCATCTCATCCATTCCTACAAAAGGAGAGCTCATTTTTAGAACAAGCAAGTTCTAGTCGAAGCTGAACTTCTGCATATTCGAAAGAAGAAAAGCTAATATTCAGCTCCATTCCATATCCAGTTAAATCATAAAAACTTTTATTTTATTCTCCAAGAAATGAACCCTGCGTGCACTACTGTTTTTCTTATCAATCGTCAGTAGATGAAATTGTAAGTTGGTTTCTAATTTGAAATAAAATTTATTTTCAAATAGATCTGCATCATTAATTTTAATTCATTATTTTCGTTATAAGAAATATTTTCTTCATGATTGATTTTGATTCTCTTACTCCTAGACAATTCATTGAGTTTCTCAAATTTAAGGTAATTACCGATCAATCTTTTGTCCAGTTCTTCCTTTGCATCTATAGCCTTTGGCATGGTTTTTGTACTTTTCCTCATCATAATGACTATAGTCTTGAGTGCTGTCCTCATAATTTCTATCATTGTCAATAGACGGTAAGTTTCCGTCCCCATTTGGCATCAGAGCCAAGTGAGTGGTAATTGCATTAGCATCTTTTTAATCTGCAAGTTAGGTTCATAATATATCTCTCGATTTACAGTCTATCTTATCTGTCGGTCCTCTAAATTGTTTGTTCAACTCCCCATCTAAATAGTAAGACGTGGTCTAAACAATAAGTCCCAGGTAAAGGCATGAGCGGAGCGCCTAAGCGGGGAAGGAGTTTAGCAAATACGCGAGAAAGGTGAATCAGTATAAGTTTTCTGCATTTTGATTGTTTGATTTGTGAACTTTATGAGTAGATTATTTAGATCTAATTCAATGGCCAACACTATCTCTAAATCCAGTTTAGGTGCGATACCAAATATTGTTAATGAATAACAAAAACTTGATTTTCAAACTGATGACATTATTGATTTTTCATATTGGAATATTCCCAAAGTTTTAAGTAAAAATATTTACAAAAAGAAATGGTCAATAGCCTCATTTAGAAGTGAACATCATGTTAAAATTGTTGAAAAAACATATGCTCTTAGCAAAGAACATGAAATCTGTCAATTATTTTCTCCAAAACAAATTAAAAATCAAAGAAAAGATGGTCACAACTACATTCATATCGACTTAGTTCAGATAGCCGTAAAACCCTTAACACGTAGAGGCCTTAATACCTTTATTTTGTTATGTCTCCGAGATGGTAGATTTACTAACTTTAGTGATAACATACTTAGAATGATTAAGTTAAGCCTTTATAATGGACCTATTCATTTTTATTGTTTTCTAGATCTCACCATAAGCCTTTTAGATCCTCATATTCTGAAAGCACTCACTTTGAACATGAAAGCTTCAGGATATCAAGTTCTTGAAGGAACACAGCCCTTGGCCTTAATATACAGAATATATTACAAAGTCACTGGTACAAACATGAATTTTCAAGTTTTAACTAAGAGTCCTAGAGACCATACACTTTTAATCCAAACTAACCAAGAAAATGCAAACATTAAAGTTCTCAAAACCATTAGGTTGTTAGATATTAGTTTACCTTCAAATTAGTATTTGATTAATGAATGTAAGCTAGTAGCTATTCAAAACAGTCTAATTAATTTAGACAACATAGAACTATATATATATAAAGAGAGTATTCAAGGCCAACCCCAGCAAGAAAACCAGATATTTAAACCGACATGTCTGAAAAGCAGAAATCAAAACCCTACCCTACAAGACATGACTGTGGGGTACACTTGGATGCCCAAAAATCTTAAAAGCAAACTGTGAAATTACGAAAACATCACGGTCCAAAAACCACGTAAATCTTCAAACCAACTTTACCTCTTAAGAGAAACGACGTCGGATCACCTGGAAACATATGCGAAAAATGGTAGATTTGATGAGGACAAATTAGTCAGAACGGACATCAATCCGTCCCGAAGCTCAACAATCCGACTGGTGTCTGCACACAAAAACAAAAGCAATCTTTCGCTCTCTCTCTCTCTCTCTCTCTCTCTCCAGCTTTCTCACAAAAACAAAAGCAATCTTCCGCTCTCTCTCTCTGTCCAGCTTTCAAAACTACTTTCCCTTTCTTCCTCGCTCTCTCTCCTTTCTCTTTCTAAAGCTTCACAGGAATCAAACTCCAAAACCCTGAAAGCCAGAAGCCCGAATCCAGAAACCAATCTGAAAATCCTGAAAATTTGAGCTCCAAACCCAGCATTTTGCCCTCCTGCTTCCGCCGTTGAAAGAACCCATCTTTCTGTTTCTTCTGCTGGGTAGGAATAGCACCAGATGGGTAAGCAGAAAAAGCAAAAAAACCCAGAAAATTCTCCGAATTTCAAACCCAAAAAACCCAGCTTTTTTGCTTCGTTCTTAAACCACTGTTAAACCCTCTTTCCATTTTTGCTCTAATTTGAGAAACAGTTCCCAAAATGGCGATTCAAAAACCCTTTTCCAAAATCCAAATCTTCCTTTTTCTGATAGTTCTAGTCAATGTGGCTGTTTTCGTCACCTCCAAGTCGACAATCGAGCCCTGCTCGAATGCCGACTCGTGCAGCGCCTTGCTCGGGTACACCGTCTACACCGAGCAAAAGGTCTCGGAGGTCGCCTCCCTCTTCCAGATCGACCCAATTGCTCTCCTCACCGCCAATGCCATCGACATTTCGTACCCAGACGTCGAAAACCACATCCTCCCCTCCCAGCTCTTCCTCAAAGTCCCAATCACCTGCTCCTGCGTCGACGGGATTCGAAAATCGGTGTCTACCCACTACAAGACCCGGCCTTCCGACACTCTGGCCTCCATTGCCGATTCGGTGTACTCCGGCTTGGTCTCGGCGGACCAGATTCGGGAGGCCAATTCGATTTCGGATCCTTCGGTGCTCGACGTGGGGCAGACCCTTGTGGTGCCTCTGCCCTGCACGTGCTTCAATGGGACTGATAATTTACTGCCTGCTATGTACTTGTCTTACGTGGTGAGCCCGGAGGACACGCTAGCGGGGATCGCGGCGCGGTACTCGACTACACTGACCGATTTGATGAATGTGAATGCCATGGGGAGTACTGCTATTAAGGCTGCTGATATACTTGCAATCCCATTGCCAGGTAATCTGTAGTTTTACTTATTTAATCAAGTGTTTCGCAATTGGAAGCTAATTAATTACAATGTACTTCTATGTTGAAATTTGGTATGTTAATAGTTAGTGAGTGATTGTGTTGCTGGTTTCTAATTGCGCCGTTTTGTTCTTGGTTTCAGCTGCTGTACTTGTTATTGTTATAAGATACTTCATCGTAGAGAGTCGGAGTTCTTAAAGTTTGTGCATTTTGATGGGTTTTAATTAGTTCAACGTTCGGACTAATAACCATGTCATTTATGTTTGAGATTAGTTTACCGCCATAGCTTTACGGTTTCTGGGAATCCTTGAGGCCCTTATTATGGTTGGCTGTCTCACAGATTCGAATAAAGTTTTCATCTTTAAAGTATATCGTATACTTTTGTGTAAATGGACTTTTTTAGAATGATTAATAATCAAGACAACCATCACATAGTTTTTGTGTTTAAAACTTATCAAGTGGTTGGTTTGGTTCTCTCGCAAATCCAACTTGAGACGAAAGCCGCTAAAATATATTGGTGCGCTAGAAATATACTTCAGTATAATGAATAAGAAACCATTAGGTAATTGTGTAACAATTTCAGTTAAACAATTGACTACAAAGTTCTCAAAAATATTTTACCATATAAATTCCAAGACAGAAAATCTTCAACCTTTCCTTGAGAATACTCTGCTTCTTCATATATGACTTCTTTATGCAAGTAGTATGCTCAGGACGCAAACCAACCTTAAACATCACATTATCCTGACAAAAGAAAGTGAAAATGAATTTGGAAAAGAGTTTCTTTAAAGATATTGCTCAAAGAAGTCGTGAAATATGCACCTCTGCTTCCTTTGAGTGCTGGTAGTGCATCACATATGGAAATTGTTTTTCGTCTTTGAAACATGTCATGTATATTTTACTTATTGGCGAATGGTAACTAAGATTTTGTACTTGTTTCCTGTATATGTTTTAATTTTGTTTCTCCTGAGTGCAGCCTGTGGATCAAAATTTCCTAAATATGCCCAAGATTACGGCTTGATGGTGCCCAATGGTAGCTATGCCATTACAGCAAGTCACTGTTTGCAATGCAGTTGTGGGCCTGGGAGTCTCAAGTAATTGAGTTTGCTTCTATATCTACATGTTCTCCAACTTCTTCTGGAGGTTGAGTATTAATCACACAATCGTGTTATTTTCTACAGTTTGTACTGCCAGCCTGCTTCATTAGCAGTTTCATGTTCGAGCATGCAATGTAAGAACAGTAACCTCATGGTCGGGAATGTTACAGTTCAGCAGAGTGGTGGTGGTTGCAATGTCACTTCTTGTAACTATGGTGGTTTTGTGAATGGCAGCATCATCACAACGTATGGTTATCCTTTATGCTTTTACTTTTTCATTCTTATTATAGCTGTTTCAAAATGTAGTAATTCTGCTTTAATGTCAATCTGATTTCATCCTCCTCTGCAGATTGTCTTCATCTCTTCAGCCCCGTTGCCCAGGTAAATGTATAGATGCTATTATGTTTTTTGCTGCTTGGCTAATTAAAAGTAACAAAACTAAGAAATTGATTGCACTTGTAGGTTTCTGGATATCACATAAAATATGAATGTCTATGTGAAATTGGTTGTCTTATTTTCTTAAACCGAAGGAAGTTTTGCCCGTTTTATTTGTTAAAAATTGGTTTATGTTTTAATACTTTTCTTTATAGTACTGTAAAATTCTAATTTCAAATTATGGACTCGATTATTATCAAACAGTTACTAGTGTTATAAGGCATATAAGCAGATTGTATATTATTTTCTATTGAAAATAAGATCTTATTAGAAAATAGAAGATCAATCGCTTTTTGCATTGTGATTTCTTTAACTGAAAAAAAAAAGGCTTCATGGAGCCAGAAACCAGACTGATTAATTTGGTACTCAAGAACTCTATTTGAAAACGTGATGCAGGTCCACAGAAATTTCCACCACTTAAAGCCCCGCCGACCTCGGTAATCCATGACACAATGGTTGCACCTGCCTCTGCACCTGCACCCCAGTCAGATGGTTCGATTGGAGGGATACCCAAGTCGCCTTCAGTGTACCCCGGAGTGCATCCAGCAGGATTATCCCCAATAGGTGGCCCTGCTGGGAGTGCTTCTGATGCCTGCTCGTTGATCAATCCATTGGCCAATCTCCCAACCGCCGTTCTGCTACTTTTGTATGTCAAGTTGATGATGGTCATCTTATAATGATTTCGGTACCCTGTTCTTCATTGTTGCTTCAGCATTGGACCAGTCGGATTCTTGTATTTAACCTTTTACTTATTTGTAGCGTTTGAACTGGTTTGGTGGACGTGGCGAACCGTCATTGGGGTGTTTGAATAGTGATGGGTTTTGTTCTTCTCAACTGTCAGATTATGCACCGTGAGGTAGTGGCCGTTGCCATCTCTGTAATCTATTCTCGTTACCACTTTCTTGAGTCTCAGAGAGATAGTGTGGGCAGAGCCTTCCTCGTTAGTTCCTAGCATTTTGTTATCATCTCTATTCTCTAATTCTCTCCCTTATGCCCTCAACGCTGAATACATCACTTTGAAAGCATATTGTATCTCACCATACATTTAAACAAGAATTAAGCCAACTCAACTGGTTTTTTTTCTCATCAAGTTTTCACTTCTTGACTGTGTTCTTAAGCCATCTCAAATGGAGAGGGCTAAAAGTCTAAACGCCAAAAAATGATTTGATTTGCTCAAAAGCTCATTTCTAACTTATGATTGTGCTATAATTTTATGGAGCTTACTAGGTTATTATTTGGTCAAAGGGCTATCTGGCTGGTTAAATGTAGTCCCTCTCTTAGCCTTTTTTTTTTCGGAGACTTAGCTTCGTAGTTGCAATAATTAATTCAAATTAAACAGTTAGATTTGAAAATATCCAAATGTATAAAAAAAACAAAGTTTTATCACTCAAAATCATTTTGACAATATGGCAAATTTGTTCAATTTCTATCCACAACTCCGTCGAATATGAGCACCAGTTCATTTTCTGTCAAATACGAGCCCTAGGGCCCTCCGTCGAGGGCATTATCGACTCACAAAGGGGCATTATCGCTCAAAGCTTCGGCGCGAGGTTTTCTGGTGGTGGAAGAATGTTGGCACGTTGCACTAAAGTTGTTGCAGAGGCTGGAGAAATTTGTGATCAAATTGAGATGATAAATTGATCAAAGAAGGGTCAGAGAAGGGATTTACTCTTGATTGCAGGACGAGTTGTAACGAATGGCACTTGATTGTGTGTTTAAATGACACTTCATCGTCCTCCCAATCCTTGCCTGTAGCCGTTTTGAAAGCAGCAAGGAGTGATTGCCAACTTGATATGTCCATCGATAATGGAATCTCTCTCTCTCTGCAGTTGAGGACAAAAAGACGGGGTTTCATGCAAGTTGCACGATTGAAATCCCAGTCACCCACGACGGAACCTTGGCCGATGGTCTCGACCTAGAACACGGCTGCTAGAAGAGGCGGCGCTGGTTTCTTTCTCTGGCGACCACACCAAGCGATGTTGAGGTGTCTTTTGCCCAAATAGGCAGCCCACCTGTGTGTGACACCACCACAGCCCAGTCTCTAGGCTTGAGCTTTGCTCCACTTTCTTGTTTTCAAAAGTTCATTAATCTGATTATTGTGTGGGTCACTTTGCAGGTACAATTGGCTAGCAAATAAGAAGCTCCGAGCTGGAGTATACCAAGTTAGCAAAAGTTCATACCGTTCTCCTCCACCCTATGGTCCAAAGTTAGCTGGAGTATACACTGGTACAGAAAAAGGTCATAAACAACAGTTTTTCTTCCTATTCTTTAGAGCAAGTTCATTTAATCCACTCACTCATTGAACAGGGATAGATCTCATGAATAGTTGAATTGGCCAAATGCATCCATCTCTAAAACTAAATAGCCTAGTCAATTTTTATTAAAATATTATTAATTTTTATAATAAAATAATAATTTGATTTTTAATTTCTGACTTTATAATTTTTTTTTTATTAATTTCAGACATTTTATTTATTTTATAAAGTTTTTTGGCCAAAAAATCTGGACTGTTGATCTGAAAATCGAACGGTCCTCATTGTGCCACGTCAGTAGCCATTAATTTTAAATTTTAAATTTTTTTTACTGTTGAAATCCAACGGCCCAAAAAAATAGCCGTTGGAAATCCAACGGTCCTCATTGTCCATGTATCCACACGGAAGAACCCCATATTGCGCCTGTATAGTGGGCCCCACCTCTGCGATGCTGTTGGCCACTAGCGACCACGCGCTCGTGCTTTCCACATGCCTGGTGCAATAAAAAGGATATCAGGTGGCTGATGTCAGCCTAATGTCATGTAGGCCGGTCCTTGGCTCAGCACATTCTGGGCCGACCTAGAGACTGGCTTGGGCTGGGTGCCAGCCTATTAGGCTTGGCTGAAGCGTTTTTTTGGGGGTGCCCACTCAAATTTTGGACTTTAGGCCACCTACTGTCTTGGGCTGGACCTACTCTTAACGTGTCACATGAAAAGTTATGTGATACAACGAAAGTCCTATTTACATGAATTCTAAGAAAGTCCCCAATTCATCAATTCAACGAAAGTCCTGTTTGGCCTTTTGAATTTTGAGGGAGCATCACATGAAAAGTTCTTGCCAAAGGCCAAGGCAACTACATTTTGATTTGGCTTTTTAGCTAAACTAGTCATTGAGATTGTTACAACTCCTCACTTTGGCCCTTGAGATTTAAAATTGATATAACTAGTCCCTTAGTTAGTCCACCGTCAATCATTTTTGTCATTCCGTGAGAAATCTCCTTTAAATAGAAATAAAATGACAAAATTACCCTCAATTTTTGTCAAAATTATTTTGGCTCATTGTTTATTAAATTGAGGAGTATTTATTATTTATTTATTTTTGTCATTTTAGTCTTTATTTAAAAGTGATTTTTCACGGAAGGATTGATGATGGACAAATTTAGGAACCACTTCTATCAATTTCCAATATCAGAGATCACTTTAGCCAAAATACCTAACATTTTTACTAGAATAAGAAACACTTGTAAATGGCTAGTCAGTCAACTATTGTGTTTTCTAGTCTAATGATTACTTTCAAGACTAAAAAAATCGATACATTCTCACTTGCATCGTGGAAATTTGGGTTTTGTTGGTCACCTATGTTGGTCTGCATTTCTTTGTAGCGTGAATGAGACGAAGTGGAAAATGAACTGATTTGGACACAAACATGACTGGTTTGACGAGTTAGCATAGGTTACGTTTTTAAGTTTTTCACACGGCCAACGTGGCATGATTAGTTTGGACACAAACATCTTATCCCTGTTTCATTAATTCAATTAGTAAGTCAAGTCAATTCGCAGCCTCTTGGGAAGTGGAATTGAATTTCTAGAAGGAAGAGTAAGCCCTAGTTTTGTATTGAGGTGATTCTGAAAAAAAGTGAGTATAAAAAAAAGATGGGAGCTTTTTTGTGTTTGGTAAACATTCAACTTCAGCTTTTTTTTCACAGTTTTGGGTGAAAAAAAAAACAAAAAAACAAGAAGCTGCAAAACCCAGCTTTGAAAAACCAGCTTTCAATTAAGTTCCTCTGAGCAGCTCCGAATCCACCTCATGAAAGAACCAAGCATACAAGTACGAAATCCCAACGTTGTTAATCAAAAGTCCCACATCTAACCCTTCAATCGTCTCCTGAATGCGCTTGACGCCGTCTTCGAGGTCGCCGGTGAAGTCGACCACGACGGTCTTGATTTGGGTTTTGCCGTACTTGGCCAAGACAGCGTTCAAGACGTCCTGGAGTTTGTCCGGATTATGACCTACCAAGATCAGATTGAGCCCCTTCCGAGCCAGTTGGAAGGTGAAGGCCTTGCTAATGCCATCGATAGGTCTGGTGATGAGTGCCCAAGATCTGTACCTTTTTAGATTCTTGGCAGGTCTGAGGAAATTGACGTAGACCCATTGGAGGAAAGAAAGAGAGTTTGAGTAAAGAGAAAGAGCCGAGAGTGAAGAGTACATGAACCCAGAAAGGCTGAGCTTTGAGGTGCTCGAGTAAGCAGGAACCGATGTCTGTTTCTTGCTTTGGATCTGAATTCTTGAATTATGAGATTTGGGCCTTTGGAATTAGAGTGGGGAAGAGATGAGGGAGTGGTGTGAGGAAGAAGGGCATAGCAGGGAGTGAACAGTGGGATTAAATTTATAGAAGCGTCTGAAATTGGTAGAGAGGAAATGTTGGATGAAGTAGATGAGCGGATAACCACCCCAATTTATAGTTTACCAAACACTATAATACTGTTTTTTTTTTTAAAGCATTTTTACAAAAAAATTTACCAAACACTCTGCTGCTTATTCTCATAGCACAGCCCAGAAGCAGTTTTTTTTTCTTCAAAGCACAGTAATACCAAACTAGCCTTAAGTCAAGTCACAACCAAAGGGTTTTGGTCCATTAATGAATTTCCCCAATGCAATGTGGGTGCATTTGTTGCACCGAACCATCTCAGACTAGATTACTGAACTAAATTGGACTAACTTAGAATAGACTAAGCTGGACTAACTTAGTAAATGTTGTGTCAAACTAAGAAACTAGACTACACCTAATTTGAACATATTCCCATTTTGGATTATAGTGATGTGATATATTCTAACACACAAATTAAACCCTATAATATAGTATGTGTAAGTAGGGATCGTTCTAGGCCGGAGATTAGAAGAGATGTTAATCTACTCTAATTAAACTCTAAAACACTAAACTAGACTCAAAAATAGAAAATTAGACTTAGAAACACTCAACTAGACACTAAAAACTCAAAACACACTAAACAGACTCTAAACAGCGCAATGCTAGCAAATAGACTCAAAACAGACTCTAAGGAGTTATTTGGACGAATTTTAGACTAGTAAGACTCAAAACACTTAAAAACACAAGTTTGGACAGATTCTAACTAATTTGACCCAACAAAGTAAAGGGGGATTGGATTTTGGACGAAATTAAGGTAAAAACATACAGAATGTAAACTTAAACTAAGTTGCACGAAATTGGGGTGAATGAATGGGTGATAAGCTAGCTAGATGGTCCTTCTCCACACATGATGCACTTGCCTACAAATCGATTTCCAGTTGCTTTTCCAACAAACCATGAACCTCAACACCCCAGATTAACTGTAAACTGAAGGGAAAATATGAGATTTATGTGGGATTTCTATTGACTAGCATGCATATACAATTCAAAATTTATATACGAAAGCAACGGAAGCATGTCATACATTTTATCAAAACTATAGTCATGCAAATCCCCTTCAAGATGCAGAGGTTTATATAAGATGCATCAAAACAAAATTTATTGAAGAACAAAGTTTAGGAGTAGTTTTATACCTCTTGATTTAGATCTTAGACCAAGGATTGACCACCTCCAAGCTCTTTGCTCCTTGAACTCCTTGAGCCTAGCCTCCCTCCTTGCTTCCTCCAATTTGTAAAGTAAGTGCTCCTAGGTTCTCTTCAAGTTTCCAAAGATAAGAAAACCTCTAAAGATCCTCACCCACTTTGTAATGAGAAAGATGAAGGAATTAACCAAAGGGGTGATAAAATGATTAGCTAATTCCCCCTATGGTGGCCTGCCCTTTGTTGTTAGAGAGGGTTTGATATTCTTTTCTCTTTTGTGTTTTGAACAACCTAAACACCCTAACTCTACTTTCATTATAATGTTCCTTTTATTACATAAAGAAACAAGTCAACAATTGACCTTCTCTCTCCCTCTCTTTGGCCGGCCATATGTGTTTGGTTTGGGCTTTGGGCTTTTAATTATTTCAAGTCATCCAATGCTTGAATAAAAGCCCAATGGGCCTAATTAAACCCCGACGTTTCTTTAAGCCCAAAACGATCTTTATCGCTTTTATGATTTCTTTAGACTTTCTAAATTAATCAAAACACTTAATTAATCCAATTAATTATTTCCTTCATCCATTAGTTACTCACTACAAGAGTGTATTGGTGAACAATCTTTTAGGTTCTAATTAGCAAGGCAGTGAGGTGATTGGCACCAATCCAATTGATTATCCAATCACTTAGTGAATTAAAACTTACTTTTAATTCACCTTCCTTTTACTGACTACATTTAATCATCTAGAAGAACTCACAAGCCATGAGTGACATCTAATCATATATCATGGCTACCCAAGCTAATGTAGAAGTTATTCGGAGAACCTATTCAGTTGGAATTACAATGTAATTCGATCCTTCTCTAAAACAATACTCTCAATCACATTACTAAGGTATGGATTTATAATGTCAAACCCCTAATGTGATTATTCCTTCTTATACGATTCATTTGAGACGTATAGGAACGTTTTCCTTTATTACGCTCGATACTTCGGCCGAAGATTCCCGAATCATATCTTAGAGTATTCATCTTCTCTTATCGAGGATTAGAGATTCCTTGTTGCGCATTCACTTGCCTTTATGGCTAAGTGGCTTAACCCCAACGATGCCTTGGACACTCGCGAATGGAATGACTTTAACATAATCAAAGATTAAGTACTTAACCACAAGACAACGACGATGCCTCAGGTCAAAGGATTACTTACATTATTCCAACCATTAGAGTTACTTGCTTGACATGTGAGTAGACCTCCATGCAAGTACTCTCGTTCGATTGTGTTCAGTGAACTCATTCCCTTAATGAGCACCTACATGCTTGTCTTAGTGTCGCTACACGAATGGGATGAGACTTTCCATCCTTCCAATTGAAGCGGACATAGTATGTACCGGTCTATGGATTGTCAGTATCCCTCCGACAATCCTTATGACCACGAACCTTTTTGGACATGATGGTTATGAGAAGAAGGTCTCTGTAATCTAACATCATTAAGTTACTTCTTCCATCAATCCATTGTCCATGGATTCACTATTTAGGACATATTTTGTTCATTGAGATAGTCCTAATTAGTATCTTTGCCTTCCGATGTATAAGAGTCATATATACATCAATTCATTGTCCTGAAAGGTTTCTTCCAAAGATTGACTTTCAGGGCATATTTCCAACATGAACAGCACTAATTAACCCTCATATTTTCCTTAAGTCATTGAATTGGATGGAATACGCATCAGCAACCAAATTATTCTTCAATAGTTCCCTACATGAACATCATAATAAAGATACAATCAAAGATCATTAAGCTTTGTGAAAATCATAAGCATTGACAAGGCATTCGTAACTATGAACAGCATGATACTCTTGCCATGAATTTACTTAACACGATTGTGACTAGCAACCTCCACTACTTATGAATATAAGTTTATAACGATTAGGTGAAACTCCCTTATATTCTAGCATCAAATTCATGCATGCAAACTAAGTATGCATCCTTAATCAACATACAAGAATAAGTTATCAATCAAACAGTTAAGTAAATTGCAATCATGATTTATGAAATCACAACCGGAAGTAATCAATTCATATTGCAAATATAATCATGGTTTCAAAGTCTCCTTTAACTAAAACGAATTTAGTTCCTCATGTTTGCAAAACAAAGATAATTAAATTTAAACATTGAAAACAAAGAATAGAATACACCTAGAAACGCTCCAACAATCCAACGTCTTGAATGGCAAGCACATCTCCAGGTGGGTCCTCCTTCCTTTCTTGTTGTGGCACAATGGGGATTTTTTGAATTTAGGCTCTTGAGGTTTGGTGGATGGTGTGGTGATCTGATGGTAGAGGGTGGTGATTGAATTATGTGGCATAAACATATATTTATAGGCTTAGGTGCAGCACAAAAGTAGCTTAGGAAAAGGATTTTAACACTTCAAATCCATAAGGAAAAGGTCAGCTATATGGCAGAAACCAAAGAGGAAAAGGAGAGACAGGTGCGGCAGATTCCTAGGGGTAAAAGGTTACTTGTTTGCATGATTTTAGGACTCCTTAAATCAGATGGGAAGTGGTTTAATGTGATAAGGAATCCCCCTTGCAGCTGGAGATAAGGTAAGATAGGATTAGGATAAGATAAGATAAGATAAGGTTGGATAAGGTTTGGATAAGATAAGGTAATTTGGATAATGTTCCTTCTGTAGCTGATTCCTTATCTTCAATGCTTCCAAATTTGTTTCTCCAGATATTAAGCACATTCCTAGCCTCTCTTGATCTTCAAATTTGTCCATCCACCTTGCTCCATACTTATGCTATCCATTCCAAGCCCAAAACTGCTCTAAAATGCTCCAAAATGCCATTTCTTGCCAACTTTGCCATTTGGACCTACAAACATACGAAAATAGCTTAAATCACTATAATAAATAGAAATTAACTATGTAAATGCAAGAAAACAAGCTAACTAAGTCACATAAATATGCTCATATCATATAGTTACTAATCTACACCTAACTTGAACAATTTTCAATTTAAGATTCATCAATTCAAAACCTAATTCGTATCTAGAACAAAATTACATGAACAATTTCCGATTCGGATTCATCAATTCAAAAGCCAATTTTCGATTACTAATCGATAATGCTCAACCAATAAAAAGTAAATTAATTGAAAAATAGAGCTCAGAAAGAAAGAGAGACAGACAGACAGACATATCGATTAAAAAGAGGAATGAGGGCGCAATGGTCTGGTTCATGATTCTAGGTTCGGGGCGAGGAGAGAGGGAGAGAGTAGTGGTGGTCTGCTCTCGCTAGAGTTGACGAGTGTAGGAGATAGTCTCTGCTATTCATGAGAACGGAGAGAAGAGAGGATGCAAGGTCTTAGCCAGGAGAGGGGGGAGAGTGTCTCGCAAAGACGGTTTAGCGACGTTTTTAGTCGAGGCGAATCCTTTCAATCCCACTAAAGCTAGTCCCGCAGCGGAACAAGTACGTGATTACACTTATAGTTAGTTTAGTCTAATCCAGTGAATGCTAGTGAGGGCAAACAAACACCTCCTGCCTTCCTAACCGGTTCACAAAGAAAATGATGAAGGAAAATACGATTTTTCAGATTTGGATGCTCTTTTGGTTAATATCATTGCTGTGCGGTTGCCATTATCTTT